AATCCGGAACCCATCCATTGAGAAGTAAGAACCCCTATAGCTTCCAGCTATCTGGGGAAAAAAGAACGCGCACCGTCTACCCGTCTTCTCGTTGACCCACTCTCCGAACGGGTCGACGACACCCATGGGAACCACCCGGTGAGGTACCGAGGTGATGAGATCCACCGGTCACATCCACCGGTGACTACAGACGTCCAGTCTGACCCAGGGTTTTACCTGGTCAACCTTCTTTTACGGTTGAAGCTCCGGCCTAGAGTAGTGTATGTTGTATGAGAGACGAACACGGATTTCATGAGGTCATTGAATCCCAGTGGGTCAACGCACCAGTTTAACCAGTTCTTTAGTAACGCACCAGTTTAACCGGTGCTTTAGCAAAACTGGGGCTGGAAGCTTAAAAAGGCCGTGAAAAACCCATGAAAAGGACGTGAAAAACCCGTGAAAAGCCCGTGAAAACAGGGTGAAAGGCCGTGAAAAACCTGTGAAAATTAGGTCTTGGAAGTTGGGAGGTGAAATGCGTCCTTTATGCTAACGCACCAGTTTAACCCGTCCTTTGGACTTGCTGGGAATTGTAGAAAGTGGTTCTGAATTCTCCAATCCAGGTCTCAAATGTCTACATTGTGAGGTCCTGCCACGCCATCCATGCTACCCTCCTACCCATCCACTTACGCACGAAGGAGACCATAGCTCGAGCGCTCGCTCCAACGATCTGACCCCACGCGACCGGTCTGAACAAAACCACAGGCTGGACGGCTCACATCCGCTGGTTGCCTCATGTTGCCTCCATCCAAGCGGATGATAGCTTGAGGGGTCGATGGCGAGCGAGGCCGGGCCTCGAAATGGGTCCATCCCCCAGACACGATGGAATTGGGATTGGAATAGGACTGCCTTCAAAACGGCCAGGGGTGGTAGTGGTGCCAGGGGGTCTGGCTTGATCGGCAGTCCTATTCCAATTCCATCGTGTCCGGGTCATGGAATTCATCCACATGGGTCATCGTTGGGTCCACCCCTGACCATGGACCCCACACTTTTTTGGCCGCTAAGACTTGAGACTCGTCGAGTCCTGGGGTGACTCGTAGCAGTCGTCCCCGAGAGCGTAGCAGTCGAGGCCCATTCTTACAAGACCACACGTGGATTCCAGTGGCCACGATGTCGCACAGGAAACGAATCATCAGCCCAGACTGGGATTGTACATTAATTATGATTAGTGGACGTCAATGATGGTAAATACTGAGGTAGATGAGTATAACTATTCCATACACAATGGTCGACCGACAGAGTCCATCTGTTCCAAACTGACACCGTGCTTTGCCTGGATCCACCCGGGTGCCAAAATTTGGCATTCCACCAAGAGCAATCATGAAGGCTGAACATGGCCCATGTTTTTGGTATGAGTTTGTCTGGATTAAATGGAATGGAATGGAAGCTGACCCTGAGGTTGGACTGGGTTGGATCGCACCTTAAAGAATTCATGAACTGTATCAAACATATGCATCCATATCTAGCCTAATGATGCTACATAGGGCCTAGGGCATGCCATAAACGCATCACCATGTGGAAAATTCCTTACCTGCATGGTGTCTTGGAGGAACTGTACACTTCGATCTCTACGGCAGGCAGCTGCAGGCAGCGGCAAACGACCTAGGAAGCACATCTACCTGGACCCTCAGTGCGTGTATATATATATATATCCCATACACTGTGCGTATCTCCCATCTACACTCTATATATTGACCCCCCCCAAATCACCGCAACTGATCAGCACGTATTCGATACATGGAGTGTGTGGATACAATTGGGTACCAACATGTACCAGAATTTGGTACCTGTTATGATCGGGTCATGGTCATGTGACCTTCGGGAACTGGAGAGGTGAAGATGGTGAGATTTGAGCGTCCGATCGCTCCGTTCGTAGCGATGCCCTTTGCTCCGAACGTAGCGTCCGATCGCTCCTACTACCTATAGTAGTATGTAGTAAGGCCAGGAACCCCTAGTAGCGATGCCAGGAGCCCCGATCGTAGCGTCCTCACTGGAGCTGAGCTTGGCCAGATGATCTTGGCTCAGTATTCCTACGTGATTACATGGATCGCCTGCTTGGACTGGAACGACACCTGCGACGGTCCGGGAAGTTTCCCCACGGATTCCAAGTGCATTATTTCGATCTTCTCCGGCTATCCCGCCCCGGGCCTTCGAAGACCTTAAAGAAACTTGGTTTGACCTGGCACAGGTTTTGTAGCGTGAGATCCTTGAGTAGAAACTTATAATCCTACGTCTTCCGGGCATGCATTATTGCTGCCTCTCTATGGGGAAAACACCTCTCTCTCTGGAGAGGCTGAACAAAAATGATAGAGGCAGAAGTGAATATTTGGTTGATCTTGTATGTTGCCACCTTGATGTGGTGCAACTTGACACCTATCAAGACTTCTCTGACATAGTTTCTTTCTGAACCCAACCATATTACCCTTGTAAATCAGCAAGGCCACTGCTGAGCGGCAAGGTTCCTTGCTCAATGCCTTTTGGACCAAGCGTGTGGAACCCAGGAATGCAGAACAGGATCAGGACACCTATGCCAACCTACATGATGGCGTGGCATGTAGGCCTCCAATAATGCCAATCGGCTATAGGCCATGAGGAAACAATAATGGTGTGGGCAGTCGTTTTATAAATCTTTGTTGAGCTTTACTGCGGGCTTTGTCCTTATCTCACTGAATGGAGCTGTGCATGGCTTGTGCAGCTGGGAGTGATGGTGATCAAGATGATGAAGAGGTGTGGGCGCATGGAAACAAACGTGTGTTCAAAAGTTTGAGTGACAAAAGCTCATCTGGAAAGTCATGGAGTTCCCATGCACGCACACCCGGTTGGCTTTTCAAGCCATGGTGAGTCCTGGTGAGTGAGCCCCCCCCGTCTGCGCAGCACCCGCAGGTGGTCCCTTTTTTGATCTTCTCAGCCGCTGTTGCAGGCATCACTGCCCTGTTTGCTTCCTTGGCCACGGGCAGTCATTCCACGGTTTTCTGGGATCGATGTGCAACATGTTTTGTATTGTATTGCATGGATAATGTCTAACGCATGCCCATGGTGAACGAGCGATCTTTCCGTTTCAGCAGCTCGCTCGAGAGATCATCATGTGCAAGTTCACTATATTCATGAACCACGAAAGGATCAAGTTTAACATATATCATATATTAGAAATATGTCTTGCCCCCCTGCCATGGTGCCAGTGGATGATGCTGTGGAGTCGCCACCAGTGGGAAGTTTAGCGGACCTTCTTGAGGGAGACCGCAGGATTAGAGACCGCTTACGGGAGAAGGGATGCCTCATTGTGTGGGTCAATGATCAACTAGTGGGAATTCCAACCATGGCTGGCATTGCTTTGAATTGTGACCCGCTTCGGGTTCTTGCCCAGTGGTGGTGTACACAGCAGTCGAGCGCCAAATCACCATCAGTGACACGTTTGAAGAAGGAGGTGCTGGTTACTTTAAACTTGCGCCGGGTGTTAAATCAACTGTTACCCAAGTTATCCTAACTACCACATAGGTGCATGCACATGTTCTCATGTTTTATCACCCCTAAAATTGTGTTTATTCGTACAGTTCTTCCTTGGTAGGTCCTGCGCCTGAGATCGATTTGCTCCTTGCTTCCTGATGCTCCTAAAGTTCACCTTGACGCGTGGGGCTTGAAGAAACTATTTTCTTATGGCTGTCGCCGCTCGGGGTCTGACAAGGATGGTGCCGAGGGGTCGCCGCATCGAAGAGATCTTTAGCTGAAGGTTGAGTTTCTTTTGTTTTGGCTCAGGTCACTGATATGCTGGCCTGTTCTTTGTGCTTTTCCTGGTGGTATACAGTGAGAGCCTTCTGGGAATTATAAACAATATATCATATAGCCCAGGGACTCAAAGACTTTACTGATCCATGCCTGAGCTGAGGATTCTTCAGTGGACCCCTTCTATGACGAGTTGTTCAAGCATTGGAACGTCCGCCTGCGACGCAGCACACTGCTACCAGCGCCACCACTTGTTGAGGTGGATGATTCCGACACGGAGGATGACTTGTGTCACTGGGTTGTGAAAGCTGATCCCTATAGTGTTGAAGTCAATGGTGAACAGACCAAGGACACCACCACCGCACACCCAGTTGAGCCAGCAGCACCCAGTTCCCAGGATGTCCTTTGTCAGGCTGTTGAAGCCACAGATGTCAAGCTCGAGGTGAAGCCAATCCAGAAAGGCTACCAGGATGTCAAGAGTCTTTCAAAGCAAGAGGTTGAGGAGAGGATCGCATATCTTAAGACCCTGGGTTGTGTTTTGTTGCTGCAGTATGTTTTTCCTATAGCTGCATGTATATATGGCCTATATAGCTTCTAATTGCAGGTATCGAAAGTATGTTTATTGTTTGAATCCGCATCTTTCCACACTTTTCGGATTGTTTGCAATTATTTCCTTGCTGACCTTGGTTGCACGTTTGTCTCAGGAAAGTTCTGGAATGCAAGGCGAAGAAGGACGTGAGCACGGTTTTGGACAACCAGGATACTCAGCATTATGACGCCTCACCCATTGCTAGTGGATTGACAAGGACAGGTTCAGTGATTGATTTGGACGAGTGCTCCGACGCAGAGGAACCATCAGATGATCTGCTTCGGCGGTCTTTGGCCACTGAATTTTCAACTGCCCTTGGAGCAGGCTCGCTCGCATCCCACATGATAATTTTAAATATACCAAAAACGTGTTGGAGTCATGGCACATGAAATAGTTCATTTGACATGTTTCAAAAGGAAATTTACAGTTGCCCTAATCAGGTGCAAATGGAGTGATGAATGGTGGGGCTGACTCACAACCGGAAAGTTGTGGAGACCAACCTGAAGCAGCTCCATGCGATGTGTCTTCACTAGTCCAGGAAGCTGGCCAGCAACCAGCTCTGGATAGGGAAGCAGCCTCCAACTCCAGCCGTCCAACTCCACCCATGATTGAACCGGTGGATGTTGAGGATGCCTTGCCTGGAGAAGTTGCTGGATCACATCCTCACGATCAAACCAGTTCAGCCGTTCCCTCACCGGTGGAGGGCAAAGACCAAAGCGTGGGGGCTGTTCCTCCAAGTCTGCATGCTGAGGATCCTGAGACAAGCCGGTGTGAGGTAGCTTGCCCTCACTTGTCTTCTGAGGGTATTGGAGCTGAGGCTACAGCAGCTTGGGCGCTGGAACCAATGGAATCTTCTGAGGGTGTTGGGGCCACAGTAGCTTTGATGGAGAAACCATTGGAATCTTCTGAGGGTGCTCGGGCTGAGGCTACAGCAGCTTTGAGGGAGGAACCATTGCAAGAACCCCCACTAGTGCTGAGGTGCCATCAATGGGACATCAAGAACTCATGCGCTGAGAAGGATGACAAGGACAAGGGCAAGAAAAACAGCAGTGGCCGAGGGCGTGGAAAGGGCCGTGGTCGTGGTGGCCGTGGGAAAAAGCAAGGGTCTGTTGAGCCAGAGTTCATTCCTGATTCCGATGAGGAAAAACCTCAGCAGGAAGAATGTGAGCCTCCGCTGAAGAAGGCAAGGAAGACTTCGTCTCCAAAGCCCAAACCTCGAGGGAAGGCCAAGGCCAAGTCCAGCTCGAATGAGCCCGGCACCAGTGAGCCCGCTTCTGATGCAGCTGAGGACGAGTGTTTGGACAAAAATGAGACTCCTGTTGTGTGGGTTCACGTGTCAAAGGAAGGGGTTGAGGCGATCAATCGTGCATATGGGTGGGATCCCTGCACACTGCAGGACCGAGATCGGGGCATTGATGCTTCCGGAGGTGAGGTGAGCCTAAAGCGGAAGATCGAGGCAGAGGTTGATCTGACAAAGGAGAAGGCTGAGCCTGCGGGGGAAAAGATTAAGAGCTTTGCAAGGCGTCCTATTCCCAAAAGCAGTCCTGCTCGTGACCGTTGGATGGTTATTCGCGATTGTTTTGTGGAGAACATCCGCCCCTATGTCGTGCAATCAAATTTTGCATGCAGCAGTTTCGAGGCACATGTTGTTCAAACATGTTCTTTGTTCCTGGGCCTCTCAAATTCCAAGGCTTGCTAGACCCCCAACATGCCCCTCAAAGAGCCTTTTGAAACCCCTGGAGGCTGAGTGGTGGGAATCTTGCATGGCGTTCTTTAACAGCTATTCGCCAACGGATGCCAAGAAGGGTGAGATCAAGTGCCCTGTCTTGGATTTCAAGAAGTTGGCCGAGGCTCATGCGAAGGATTTCCTCCTGCAGACTTGTCTTTGCATGGAGGAGGATCTCGAGCTGAACTGAGAATGTGGCACTTGCATTCTAGGACCTATAGATGATGGGCATCCCGAGCACACGTGTTTCGATACAAACTTGGTGTGCTTCTGGTGCAGCCCTCCCTGGATTCAAAACCACGCACGACCACTTATACTTCAAATAACTTGTTTTCGTCAAAGTTTATATATATTGTTCAGTAGTTTTTGTTGGGGAGGCAGCTTTTAAATTGCAGTGTTCACAGCGAGCAGTGTCCGTTTTGTGGCTTTGCCTTATGGCAGCAAAGCCTTATAATTTGTTGCACGCATGTGCATGCATGCGCGTATTTCTATGCGCAGCCCCTGTCTTTAATTGAAACTCAGGGAATAGTAGTGCCATGTGAGCCGGTTCAAACGTGTTATGCGTGAAGATCTGCTGGCCCAAAACGATATGATGCTTCAGAGTGGCTTAGAGACTAACTTTAGTTTTCTCAAGCGTTTGGGATTGTCAAAGAGGTTCATTCTATAGATATAGACTTAAAACACATAGAAAACCAACGATTTGCTTTCGACATGGCCAGGTATAGCCAACGGTAGCCAGCGACTTCGACATGTACGGCTTGCGGAGAGGGTGCATCAGCTTTGCTAAATTTGGACTTGGATCTGCAAGTTCTGGCAACACTGGCTAAACTTTCAATGACAAAGGGAAGAAACTTCGAGTGTTCAGTTTGATTTTCTCAGCAAGCACTATACGCATTGCAATTACCTTTCTGCTAAATGGTGGCATGCTTGCATGCATGGATGTGCATGTATGTTCAAGGTTTTGGCTCCATTCGCCTGTGTGACACCGCATCCGTATATATATATATGCATCGATCCATTAATATATGCATGCACATGCAACACCGAAGCTCGGAATCAAAAAGGTTGCTTTTCATGTTTGGTGATCGATATATCTCATACCTGCAGCAATGACGCCTGCCCAATTTGACATCTTGCTCAAGAG